ATATAACATTTTAGACACATTCTAGACAGTTTATCAGCTAAAAAAAGTTAATTTTGGGGTAAGTTACTCTTTAAACTTTGGTTGTGTAAAGAGCTGTCTATAGTAGGTAAGATATTAGTTGTTCATAACCTTTCTACAGAATCCCTCTTCTGAAGATCTGAAATAACCCTTTAATTCATTGTTGACTTTAGTTTAATTAAGTTTCATTTCAATCTACTTGATCCAGAAAACTATTAACTTTTTTAACTTTCATCCATCAAATCTATTGTTGCTTCTTTCTGCCTATTGTAGACATTCTACATATAATTATTTACTGCCCAGGTAAAGTTTTTTTATGCTATTAYAATATATTTCACTCTTCAATCCATAACATTTCCCATTGGTTGTGTTTCTCTTTTTTGTTGTCTTTCTTTTATTTAAACACTTGACAACTGCAGAAGTAACCACAAAGGCTTGAGGATTCCCTGGTTGAGAGTCACAGAAATAATCTGTTCTGTTAATTAGTTAAGTATCCTATTTAACTCCGATCAATCCACTTGTGTAAAGATCTCGCCGAGCTCTCTGTTCTCAGAGTTACAAATCCCAAAAGACTCCCGTGCCCTTCAGAGCCTGTAATCCCCTTCATCGTCCTGCCTGAGCGTAGCAATGGCAGGTGGAAGCAAATAGCCCAAACTGCCCCACAAACAAGCCAGGACACGGTTTCACTTGGCACACCAAGCTGTCCATCTGCTTCCAGCAARCCTCCGCTTCTGAAACCAAGAGAGCGGAAAGAAGCTCTGCCTGCACGGGGAACCAGAAATTTAGAGGATTATGATAAATCAGCTGGCCACTGCTTTAGTGCTGTTAGGAGTAATGATGCTCACTTGAACATGGAACAAAACCACCAAGCTAATTTATTCCGAGGTTGACCTGCAACAGAATAAAAACAGAACTTTAATCGCCTTCTGACGCTCGCTTAAATTCCAGTTAAGAAGGCAGAGAAAATCTGTGCAACGACCTTTCTATTACTATTCATGTATTGCCCCCTCTTGTTGGTTATTTTTTATTTAAAATTCTCAAAGACCCACTCATTAATTACAGCATGCCATAACAAGTGACTTCATATCATTAGCAATATTAATTATCATTGTGGTCCTTATTCCTGTATGAAACAGAGCATGAGAGTGGAGTCTTTTTTTTTCCATCAGGATCCAATTAATTCAATGCAACTGCCTAACAGCTGGTGGCATTTCGACTCCAAGTCTTCCCTACTCTCCAGTGTGAGCATCATTAAAATCAGGTGATGTAATCATCTGTCGCTGCAGTAGCTGGCAAGGTAACAAAAAACAAATGAGAACGCAGTTAGGGATGGGCAAACGCTGCCATATGCCCTAGAATGTAATGCACCCTTATGATGTGGGTTTAAATTGACATTGGAGCGTTAATTAAAGGAAGGGGTGTGAAAGTAGCATTATGGGGATTAATGGAATGGTTTGCGTACTCTACATGCTGATAGCTGTTTTACACGCATTTAGGCTTGTGTGACACAGCCATCCCAAGCCTTCTGGATTTTATCAGCCGAAATAAWATGTCAGGAAACACCAGTTTGAGAGTATTTAAGCCTCGTGGCCAAACGTTATTTGGTGTCTTCACAGTCTCCGACAAGGATGAAAGCTGCGAGGAGATGTCCGTCCCCAGCAGCCCGCAGAACGAGGCCATCCAGCACAGCTCCGTCAGCACTTCCAACGGGGTCAACTCCTCCTCCTCCTCCTCGTCGACCCCGGCCGTCACCGCCTCGTCCAGCACCGCCGCCGCCGCGTCAAATCAGAGCACAGAGGAGAGCCAGCCACGGAGGGGCGCCACAAAGTCTCAGCCTTCAGGGAGCTGATGGGCCCAAACTCTACCCCCGTCGTCCACACTGGAGTGCTGCTGCCTCCGATCTAAAGCATTTTCTCTCAGCTTCAGTTCGGACCGTTAACTCTTTAATTTATTCTTGAATGCGTTGTTTTCTGTTGAGTCTGTTTTGTACTTTATAGGCTTTTAAACGTGCAATGCTTCTCTGCAACCGGTGAAGACAAAAGAAAAGGCACTTTAGGTGTAAAATGTGAAACACGTGACTTTGAGCTGTTTTTGTATTTGTTTGATTTATTTATTRATCTCCTGTACAATTATTATTTTTATTTATTTAAAGTCAGTCAGGTGAAGCAGTAGGTTGTTACCAAAGTGTGTTGTTTATTTGTTTTCTTGAACTTTGTAAGCACTATCTTGATGAAGATACTTTAATAGAATTAGTTCATTGTTCTTCATTTGCTTTTATCGTTTTGCACATATTTGAGAGATAACGGGTTTACTTTTCGGAGAGTTTGTTGAGCACTGGCAGCTTTTTTCGACGTCAGTTTAAAAACTGGACATGTGACACAAACAGACGTGGCTGAATGAGCTGCTGAATGTCTGAGCTCACCTCTGCATGTAAAATAGACTCATGGAGGTGAGCTGATTCTATTTATTTCATTAACATTCCATCTGTAGTCTGATTGTCCCCGAAGCAGTGATTGTAGGATCGCAGTACTTTTTTTTTAACTACTCACTTATAGTGATGTTGACTTCATTCAGTGCCATTAATGTTTTTGAATAAACTACTTCTGTACATTTTTTAAGCAGAATAGCTTAAGTTGATTGCTGTTTTCTCAAACAACATGATGACTTTAGAGATGATTTCTTGCTTTGTTTACTGTGTTTGCTTTAAAAGTGACTTTTTATGGCTTTAGCGTCTAATGCAGAACATTTAGGGACATTAGGCTGTTTTCATGATAGGCAACATTTTTAGAAAAYGTAAAAAAATCATCAATGATAACATTTGTCTGTGATCTTTCTTGATATTATGTACTTTGTTTTTATAAGATTGTATAAATTTAGAAGCTGATCTCTTGATCACTGTGTTAGCAATTAAAACTGACCTTAAATCTCTTATTAGAATAAATAGGTTGTCATGCTAAATGAAGATAAAATGATGTGAACTGCAATCACGTCATAAACATCAATTGCACAACAAATAAAACGTCAAGATTTGTGAGCATTTAAGCGCTTATAAGAAACAAATCCCATCTTTTAAAGTCTGTTTGCCTTTTTCTCTTTAGTCCGTACTTGGCTTACTACTGTGTAGTTTTTATGAACAGCTGACACATTGTTTTCTGAAAAATGTGATTTTTAAAGTTTTACTGTTATGTGCTATCTGCATGAGATAACAATTCTCTGCGAGAATTTGACCRTTTATTTATTAATGTCTGGACTTAAAAACAGTAAAAATGAAACAATTAAAGAAGTTATGGCAACTTGAGTTGTGAAAGCTTTGGTGATTTGTTTTACCCTGGCTTTACTGATACAAACTGGGTGTGATACTGTGTTGACAGTGTATTTGTAATGTGAAGGTTCTGTATACAATTTGAAATAAGTTGTTGTAATAAACCTTTTAATGACTCTTTAACAATCCATCCCATTTTTTTTATTCTCCTCTGACTTCCCTAAAAGATGTCAAAAATTTCAAATGTGGTGCACAGAACGATACATTTTTATTAATAATAGACAAACCTGAAGAGTGTCACAGGAAAACTGGTGTTAATACCTGTTCTATGGGCCACAACGGGAGTAAATCTTTATTATGGTGTATACTGCCACCTTGTGGAGGATCAGAGGATTTTTGACTGATTGAATCTTTTTAATTTATTATGAACCACTTCAATAGTGCACTTCTACAAATATTTAAAAGCCTTTTCAGATTTTACACCACAGCTACAGCCTTATAAATTAACTTATTGTCTTTTTTATTATTAAAATGTTTATTGTTTCCTGTACAGAKACCTAAAAATGAAGTGTTGACTAATGTGTGTCAGTTTTTTTTATCCTGTAATCACAACGAGCTCAAACATTACAGCTTTWTATCCATAAGTTCTGTATCTTCAACCTGAGATAAATTCTCCTTCCTGTAGGTTTCTTGTATATTTTGTAACTCAGCTGCTACATTTGAATGTGATGTCATGTCAACACCACTGAGTCATTGTTCAGTTGTTGTGTGGTGGAGGGGTTTTACAAACAGAAACACRCGTCAAGTAAAACAAGTAAATCTCTCCTATTATTTAGAAATTCACAATCAAGCTGACTTTAGGACTATTTATGTGCCTTAATACAAGGTGAAAAAATATTACTTTTACTATCCCAAATCTGCCTTGTTTATCTTTTCCTGATAGATTATAAACAATGATATGCTGACCCATAATTACTCCCATCTGCACTGAATCAGAGTGTCCAGCAGGTGGCGATACATCCAAACCCAACAAAATCTCATATTATTAACTCATTTGGTGTCATTTTAACAGAGGCCTATAAAGTACTAGAAAAAAAAACTATGTAAAAGTAAAATTACATGAACAGAAAATGATTTTAAAATAAATTTCACTGCTGAGAAAACTACTCACGTAAAAGCCATAAAACTGTTCTCAAAAACTGGGAAAGTAAAAGTACTTGTACACACTCTCTAAGAAATAAACTGTTGAATTTACTGAACCAAACTGGTTCCTCTAAGCCAGGTTGAGTAAATTGAGCAATAAATGTGTATTATTTGCTCAGTTTGCTCGACTAGGCTTAATGGGGCCAGTTGGCATGACTGTTGAGTAAATTCAACACTTCATTTTTTAGAGCGTATAGACATGTTCTTTCACAATGAGTTTATACAACATATTTAATTTGTAACGAGTAACTATGTGTTACATTTTAAAGTAAAGAAGTAAAAGTATAATTTGATGCTTTAAAATGTAACAAAATAAAAGTAAAAGTATATTTAAAAATGGTAAAATTACAAAACCTCAAATAAACTATACTGTAACAAAGTAAATGTACTTAGTTACTATAAACTTCTGCATTTTAGCCACTTTTCACAACATCTTTCCCATATGTGCAGGGAGAACCCAAAATAATTCTGTGTCAAGCAGAGGAAGGCAGCGTTTTCAGATTATACGTAAAACCAAAATGCAAAAATCTTCTTTGTTCAAAAGTAAAAACACGAGTGTGATAAAGAGCAACAGAGTGAATAAGTTAAAACAAAGCAAGTGCTGTTTAGCAGGATCTGGTGTGAAACAAGAGCAGAAAGTAAGAAAAACAAATAAGAAACTGGATGACAAAGCATAAAAGTATAACCGCAAAAACCCAAGCTTATCTGGTTAAAACCCAACAATTTAAAGCTTAACTTTTTTAACCAAGCTATTTAAATTAACTGACATCAGTCCAAAAACAAAAACAACATCATCAGACTAATGATGTCATCATCAACACAGCGTATGACAGTTTGGGAGAAATAACCTTTTTTTTTTCTTTTGTGTTTTTGTGTTTGAAAGCTTCCTGTCAAAACTCCAGTAGGCGGCGCTCTGGAGCCATGTGATGCTGTCTAAATAGGCCAGCAGTGATTAGCTGCTGATCACAGAGCAGAGAATTGTAAATGTTAAAATGTAGGTCACAGCTTTGGCCGATAACGCTCCTTTTTATTTCATATTTAGGGAGCTTGGAAATAAAATGTTAGATTTTCCATCTTTGGTGCAAAATCTGAACACGGAGTGAAGCAGAATACGGTAAAGAYGTCCTCGCCACATGCAAACCATTATTTCTGGTTGTTTGATTAATTGTTACCCTCTGGCAAACAGCTATTTCATATTAATTATTCATTCTATAATGATATTAATGTAAATTTAAATACGCTTTTCCTGTAATAAATGCATGGCATTTGGAAAGATCCTCATTTTCTGCCTGCTGTAGACACATAATAGTGTCCCTATGTTTAAAAAGAAACTTTGCAAGATTAAAAAATTGTATTTTAAACAACTCTGAGCTCCACATTCTGAGTAAAATGAGGCAGYGCTTAATTGGGAAAGAACGGCAAGAGAAACGAAGACAAGCAACATTCGGATGTTGTTGGGCGTGTCGCAGCTTTTGCCTCTWAACAAATGAGCAGGATAATAATGTGGAGCTGATCTGCTGACAGGCGGGCTTCTCCAGCTGTTCCCATAATTCGACAGGTATTATCTTTGGCCCTTTAGCATTCCGCAGAGGCAAACTGGCACTTAATTAGTCAGGGATTRAGGCCAAACAGCCTCATTTACGTGGGTTGTATCACAAGCAGAGACTGCCTGCCCCGTCTCCTTCAGGGGGCATCTGGGGGTTAAAACGTGAAAATTGCAGAGGCTGCTGAAAAGCAGCAGCTCCGGGCCCACGAGTCCAGATCTCTCAACAATGAAGAGCCTCTCCCCCTGCTGAGGAGGTGCTGTTTCTGAGCACACGCTTTAACCCCTCAAATCCAAGGAGACGCAGATAAAACAGCTTGATTTACATTTAATTCAGATTATGTAAATACATTGGTTGGGTCCCAAATCAAACACGGGACACAATACAAGCTGCCTGCAGAACTCTGCAAAGATGGCCTCTATTGTCATTTAAATGAGGGGGGGTCATCAAATATTTCTTTTATACATGGAAAGGACATTTAATTGGACTCTTTATGAGATCTGTTCTTTCTGCAAACCCTGATAACTTCTTATTATTCTCGGTTGGCAGCCTCCACACACTATCAAACAAACGGAGTCGGTTTGTTTTTGCGCTTGGATGAAGGGCAAATGGGCATCTGGTTCCGCCACCGGGGATGTGCATCTATTTAATAGCATTATAGAGGTGTATCAGCTCCCATATCTGTCCGCTAAGTACATGGGTGGAGGCAAATCCTCAGTGGGCACGTTCATCGAGTCGTCTGCCAATCCCTCCCTGGGGCATGGCCTTCTCTGGGCTCATGGAGACAGCAGGACGTCTCCTCCAGTCGTCTCTGCCGGCGGGAGCCCCAAAGAAAGGCAGGTCTCACTCTCCCACTCTGCCCCGTTTCCCTTGTGAATTATCTTATTTTGTGATCAATATTTAATGCTGGTGATTATTAGAAGGTGGAATATTCTGGATCTAAGAGCTCGTTGTTTAGTCRTGTTTGTTGTTTGCAGGAGAAATCATTCAGAGCTTTTATTGAAGTGAAGGAAGCATTGATTAGTTTCTAAAATTATTTTTTGTTTAATGAACAAGATTGCCTGTAAAAAATGTAACGCTGTTGTAATAATAAAACTTCAGTTTCTGTTTGGGATTGCGTGTAAAGCAGCAAATCATATCGTCACACAACTGTGGTGGAAGTAATTTCCTCTCTTTCCTTAATCTTTTGAAAATACCTTCATCCTTTCTTCTTCCAGTCCCAAAATAAACTAATTTTGCTTAAACTTATCAGTATAAGTTTGCACTCTTTTGATTTATTTTATTGTCTTCTTCAAGCAAGCATATATTAAATTTAGTGGCAAAACTACAAAAGTAAAACTGATTTAAACCACAGAACGGTTCATATTAAATAAAGCAAAGTTCATCATGATTCCAAGCTCCGAACACCAAGTCTTTACTTGAAGCACAAGTCTGGTATTTTCTTTCATCTCAGCTTTTTGTTTTCCCTCTTCATCGACCCGTCACTCTGATGGAGAACAGCAAATTAAAGCATTTCTGGTCTCCCTGAAGTCTCTTTCTCAACCCTCAGCTCTGCTGCAGGCAGACCTTTCTGATTCATATTTTATCACAAATATCACGTTAGTCTGCTCCTAACTGCAGCCTCAGCGTAACTCGATTTTAAAATGATGGATAGCTTTTTCCTGCGCGCCACATCTCCTGACCCCCACTGACATTTCAGAGCTGTTAATTCTGTCTTCACATGCAGAGTTTCAGCTCCTTGTCTGCACTCGTCGTGCAGCCAGACCTAAAATAAAAGCTTTTTATTGTATTTATTGGAAATACAGAGTGGAAAAATCAAGRGCTRATGTTTAAATGTTTAAATAAATGCRTTRCRTTTGTATAACACWTTTTTTTGTCTAACTGACGACTCAAAGTGCTTTTACATTACAAGTCATGCTCACACATTCACACCCTCACACATCAATTTGCAGATCAGGGGCGACTTGGAGTTCACTGTCTTCCCTTCTGACATGTTTGACATGTGRAGGAAAAGCTGAATTGATGGATAACTGCTCTTCCTCCTTGACCACAGCTACCTGATCACTGGTCATTGTCATCATGTTTAAAACCGGTGACTGATCTGAAATCATAAAGTTTACATGAAAAATGTTACCAACGATAAGAAGAAAAATAAACATTGTGGACAAATAATTCAAACTTCTTTGTCATTTTTTTATATTAGCAAGTCTCTTCAGAATGATCTATGTGAGTTGAGACCATTTGCCCCAGAGTTTAGTTTGAGTAATTTTAGTTAACATTCTTGTTTGTTTGATTTAGCCACATCTCATCTTTATTCTGTAGCTTTCAAACATTTACTATCCCAGGTGTGTTTATGTTTTGCATTTTCACRGATTATTAGATATAACTTTTTGCTTTGAATCAGCTTTGACAAGTTTTGTTAAGTCAACATTAGTC